GATTTGTTTACAATTAGATGGCGATACATCTACCATATACCGTATTTATCTTATTTTCAAATCGCGCCAACATAGTAATTACGCCAAATTGTTTTCTGGCATGCGCAGTATGCGACATTCTTTTAACACTGTTCAACTCAATGTGCGGTCTGCCATTACGCGCCCCCTTCGGGCACACCCACAGAAATAAAGGATAAGTGCTATCTTCACAAAATTTTATTTGTGTACTCCTCTAGGCCTAATTAAATTGTCTACCATTTTTTTTTTTGAGTCAAAAATCATATTTTAAAAGATAGCGTGCCGGAAAGAGTTAATTCTCAGCCACTTACAAGTCAACTACTGTGGCAATTGCAGAATCATTTTGATACCTAAGCTTGTAAGACAAACCTAATATCACTGGATTTAAACACTTCTTTAATCTTCCGAGAACATTCCTTCTTTAGCGCATATTCCAAGAATATTAATTCCTGAATCTTCAAATAATTCGACTGAGAAATCATGGGATGTTCCGTTTATGATACGATATGATGCTCTATGACGTAATTTAAATTTAGACAACCATATAGTCGAAATCCAGTCGCTCTTCAATTTAAACTGCAATGCCATATGGTTTTTGTCTTTATCCGTTAGTACTAACTTAATTGCTGCTATTTTCTGGTGTGCACATCCAAGTGTTTTCTTTTTGAAAACCCAACTTCCTTGAAGTAGATTCCTTTTAAATTTATGCTTTCCCCTCTAATTTTCTTCTTAACTTCTACATTTGTTTTCAGTGCTAACACAAGAAAATTAAGATTTTTCGATTGTTACACTTCCATAAATTTTGCATTCTTGTCAAATTTTTTAAAATATTCGTCGCATCAAATGCGTTTCAACTGAAGATAACTTTCCATTTTCTAGACATTTTAACTATAAATAAAGTTTTAAAGCAAATTCCAAAGGATAAATATTTGAATTAAAAGATTTTTTTAATGAAAAGAAATAAACCACACCAGCAGCGCTTATGCTGTACCACGGAAGTGTCTCGATTTTTATATCGGGTGCAAACAATCTAAATAGTATTATTTAGAGTTTTTAAGCCTAATAATTTCTATATTAAAGGACAATCTACAACACGAGAGAAAATTACTACTTAAAATATTTTTTAAGAGGATTTATGTAAATATATATATATATATGTAAGATAAAAGATAAAAATATATGAATCAAAATTATAGATTAAACTATAAACATTAATTCTTCCTCTCGATTCTAAAATCGTAATAACTTCTTTGCATTGCGTCATTTCTAGATCACTCTATGATCGGCTCAGCTCTGATGACGTAATCATTGAGAACTGAAACTGTCGTTGTAAACCAAAACTTTTCGCGTGCTTCCATCTTTCATAACTACGCACTTCAGCTTTTGCTCTGTGCTGTGCTAAGATGTAATTTCGCTGGCTTGCTTTCTATCTCAACAATATCAAAAATGTAAATCTTCTGTGAAAAGGCACGACTAGAGTGCCAAGTGATTGTGGCCACAAATATCAATTGGAAAAAAAAAATGGAATTAAAACTGCCTCGACTGCCAAGTTCTTTAGATATTACCAAGTTAGCATTACTAACATACTACACAATCAAATTCTTCTTCAGTATGGGTCTAATCACGCATCTACAGTGTTCCGTTATTTCCTTGTGCTTTTAATATTACATATATATATTTAAAGCTGGGACCCAAGCTTTCAACGTCCTGTTTGCTTAAAAACATTGTGAAAACAAACATCAAACGAACTTTCTCAGTTTTAGACAATTCAATTTAAATGCAAAGTAAAGTAGCAGACGATAACAGGGAAAAATTTACTCTTACAAATATTTAAAAAAAAAAAAAAAAAAAAAAAAAAGGAAGAGAGAAAGAAATTTTAAAAAAGTTAAAAATTTGAATAATATCATCTATAATTAAAAAAAATAGCTTTTCATATAGTATTAATAAATATTTATTACGCATCACTGAGGGGGAAAAATTTCATATATAATTAATTCTCCGTAAAACTTTATTTGAAATTTAAGGTTAAAAATAGCTGTGGCTATTCACTTTAACAGAAATCCATAAACCACATTTGGCGTTATTAACGCTAAAAAAAAAAAAAAAAAAAAAAAAAGATGCCAAATTTCAATACGCGAAAATATTAAATTCGTGTAAATCTTTTCTTTTTTTTTTTTTTTTGAGAATTTTGAATAAAAACTCTTAATTTTTTGCAGGTATGCTTAGAACTACACCTACTTTAAGATGATGGTAAACATTTTATAGGTTATAATTCAAAAATTTTTTTTGAAAAATTTATAAAAATTATTTTAAAATGGAAATTTAAAAAATAAAACAAAAATGGGTAAATTTTATTTGGAATGAACCTAAATTTCGAAATGTGAAAGTAAAAATCAAAAATGTTTAATAAAAAAAAGAGATATTAATAAATATTTGCCAAATTCAATTAACACTGAGGAACTAAAATTTTGAGAGCTAATTTTTTTAAAAATTACTTGTACGATTTTTACAAAACTTGGCAGTCTGGCATAATTTGAGTCGTAGAATTGAAATATCTAAAAAAATTGATATGTTATTTCAGAAAAAGTCCGATTTTGTGTCAAAATACCTATGTTACAATAGTGCTGTATATAAATATAATATATATCCTAAGTCGCGCTTTCGAGACATTAAAAACGAAATTTGAATTTTTTCAATCTGCGCAGTAGAACGGGAGATATAGGAACTGTCCCCCCTTTTTTTAGCTACTATTCTAGTAGACTGTTAGAGTGTAATCATCTCAAAGCCTCTAACTTATATCTCTGAAGTAGATGCTATCAAGCCCATTTCTTCATCGACGTTTCTTCTGATAATAAAGAGAGGATCAGTTGGCCTTTAAGCCGTATTACTGAGATTGTTCCAGGTAAAGATGGCAAAGCACGGCTTTTAAAGGTGCATATTTTACACCAAGAAATTTTTCGTCCTCTTTAGAGAATCCTCTTGAGATCTTGAATCTCCTCCTTTCGTCCTCTTGAGATAGCATATTCTATTGACTAAGCCCGTGGAACCTAATAATTTGACTAGTTCTCAGATATGACTGTCAAAAAGGATGATAGAGCACCTGACGGCAAGCCGGAATTTAGTAGGACTGGTAGAAAAATTGATTCCAGAAAAGATGAACATATAATTTAGATATGTAGTTTAGTAAAATATGTTTTTAATTGCTATTTTTTCTTATACTTTCAGTATTGCATGATTGATTTCATTGGTGAATTGTATATACATACATTTTTTTAAAACTATTGATAACTTAAAATGACTCCAAGTGGTAATTTTATGTTTTGATTACAGTTTATAATCTGAAGATGGGAGTATATTAAGAATATATTATTATGTTAATGTTTATTTTTTGTACTTTTTATTCCCTCTTAATATTTTATCTAAATTCACTTAATATTTTATCAGCATGGTTTAGTAATTTGTGCATGGTAATAGTGAGGTTCAAATTGAAGAACAGTGTAAGAGTGATATTGTTTTTTTCATAACAAGAAAGTTCTTTTTTTTTTTTTTTTTTTAATGAAGCTTGATTTATTTTGTAAAAAATCACCGCAGAATAGTTTTTTTTTTTTTTTTTTTTTTTTTTCGTAAGTGATTGTTGTAAATTCTATAATGCAAGTCTTTAATGAAGGACTATTTCCTTCTGAAGTCTGGTTGATATTTACAGTGTCTCACAAAAGTGATGGGACACTTGTGCTCTACAAAAGGAAACTGCAATAAAATAAATTAAAAAAAAAAAAAAAAACATGTAAAATTTTTTGTGGGTGTGTTTCATACTTAAATTTAGTAACAATTATTAAACATACATTTAATAAAGTATTAATATTAAAATATGATACTTCATTCCAGTAATCAGATTTCTTATTTTTATGTTGGATTTTGCGAAAGCCGGTCTGAGTTTTCTATTCTTTTCACTTACGAAGAATTTTTTCCTGGCTGCTCTACTGTGATATCCAGTACATCGAATTACTCTTCTAATAGTCTCAGAATTAACAATTACTCCATATAATGCTTGTAAATCAGCAGAAACTTTAGGAGCACTCATTCTTGGATTTTTTTTTTTTTTTTTTTAAATATTTCGAACGGTAATTCGCTTTATTCCATTGGATAGCTTTTGATGGTCGGACAGGTCTTCTTTCATCCTGAATCATATGATTCTTTTTATATCGTTTAATGATATTGAAAACTGTTGAATGACTGAAGTTAATTGTTTCAGCAGTTTCTCTAATAGATTTTCCACGTTCAATATGCAAATTAATAACTAATTTTCGAATTTCAGGCAAAGTTTCTTTTCGTTTAGCATTCATGGCTGCACAGAGCTAAAAAACACAAAAATTCCAAACCAAACTGGAGAGAAATACTGCAGATGATTTTATAAATTATTGCCCATTGCTTTTGAGTAAAAATAAATACCCCAAAAGATATTTTTATTGCTTACTTCAGACGATTTTTTTTGCATAGTACGTAGTGTCCCATCACTTATGTGAGCCATTTTATGCTCCGTTCTAAACAATTGTATTTTTATTAAATTAATATTTTAATATTTTGAGAAAATGTATGTTATGTAATAATTGTTACTAAATTTAAGTATGAAACACACCCACAAAAAATTTTACATGTTTTTTTAATTAATTTTATTACAGTTTCCTTTTGTAAAGCACAAGTGTCCCATCACTTTTGTGAAACGCTGTATGTATACTGAAAACTGCAAAAGTCGGTGACTTTTTTTCTTGCAAGCTTTAAGAACTGGGCTATTAAGAACTATTTAAGAACTGGGAACGTTTAAACTTATGATTTATTTCGCGTGGGATTAAATTTGAAAATTTACACGTTAAGAGTGCTAAGGGAGGCAATACAGTACAGGTAGCATCGGGTTTTGTAATGATTATACATTGAAGGAATTTTATATATGTGAAAAGAATAGATAATCTATTGGATATTACACATTTTTCATAGTCTTTTTTTCAAAAGAAACTTTTAATGAAAATAAGTATAAAAGACTTAACAAATGAGAGTTATCACATTTTGAATAAAATGAAAACTGCATTTTTATCTTTGCTTGATGAGCCATTTTAGTATGGCTCGATCTTGTTTAATGCTTCTAGATCTAGGTCCTTCCCAGAACAGGTGGAACACTGGCACGTGATTGGCTGCTGGTAAGTCTTTTGCACCTGAGAGCCATCTTCGCAGGTTAGAATAATAGTTCGGTCCTTTGTTTTCTGAGGCAAGCAGCAGTTGCATATACTTTGGAAATCACCAATTACTAAAAGAATAATGATAAAATAATAACACTATATTTAACAACAATATTTAACATTATACGGGTTGTTAAAAATGACAGCAAGGCAAAAGTATCTAAATCCTGACATATAAATATTCCAGTTGCTGGAATATTTATATCACTTATTCCAAATTTATTTACTTATTCCAAATTCTACCAAAAATATTTTATAAGAAAATTCGGCGTCTGTTAAGCGCGAAATTCATCCCAAAGGAATTGTTAAAATTATGGGACGTAGGTCACTTTCTCTGATGGAAACTAACTTTGATAAATATTGATTTTAGGAATCGCACAAAAGCTGAATTATGCTATATAAAATGTTTTGAATCTTATCATTTTTCTAAATGGGAATTTGAAACCCGTGCTTGTATACACGATTTATCTGATATAAAATGTTTATACCAGAAAACTTATTTGCATAACAATCTTTAGTGATATATGCAATAACGTCCGCATATTTTTAAAATAATATGTCGAGTACGTAATATAATCGCAATGCTTGTATACACGATTTATTTGATATAAAATGTTTATACCAGAAAACTTATTTGCATAACAATCTTTAGTGATATATGCAATAACGTCCGCATATTTTTAAAATAATATGTCGAGTACGTAATATAATCGCAATGAGGATTTTGTTTTCGGTTGATTCAGCTGTAAAAAACAATTCTAATTGAACACTTTTTTTCGTTCTGTTATACCAAATAAAAATCTAAGTTTCGTATATTTTTATTAAAAGATATGACATGAATGTTGAACCTTGTTTGATTAATTTCCTAAAACGTAACCATGGGTCTGTGAGCAACAGTTTAAGATGTATCTAGTCCTATCATTGTTTTTTCCAGATGTCTTCTGAATTATCTTTCGTTTGCTGAATCTTTCCTGCTTAGTGTTTAAAACAGGTTAGAAGTGACTTGATCTGGATATAAATTTATTGCAGATGACCGTGTTCTTTCAATAACTCAGTTTTGCGCTTTATTGAACATTCTCTGCTTAATGCTTGAAGCAGGTTTAGAATGAGCTCATATGGATAAGGAATTTAATGCAAATGAGTCAGAAATATACTTGCAAAATAGATATAAAATTTACAGATTTTGCAACTAAGAAAAGAAAGCTCTTTTCTTAAGCTAAGGAATGTTAAGAGATTTGTAAGACATTTATTCGCAGATATGAATCTTAAAAACATATTGTAACTTCATGGATTTTACCTGGAACTCGAAGGCCTCTTCTCCGTGTGCTCTTATCACCTGACCTATTTGAAGTCGGTTATCCGGAGAATTTTTATTTGAAATATGATTATATGATTCGATCTGGAGTGACTGATTTTATGGCAGTTTTAATTTGGTGAACTTCGCGCTTCCTGCTCCTTTTATTGAGACAAGAGATATCTCGAAATCCTTGGAACTGTGTCGGTAATGGAGAGGCTTTACTTCCAAGGTCTTTACTTTAGTTACACGACACTGTAAGCGCTTTGGATCCAGCGGAGACTCAAGTTTCGGAGTTTTCTCCGCAAAAGTTGCTGGGATTTAACGATGAAATGCTGTATGGCTAATATGTTAGTAACCTGACCAGGTGTGCTTTCTCACAATGTTATTTTCATGAAAAGAATGTAAAACAAAATGTAAGAGAATCTCACATACATTAACTTCATACGCTGAAGCTGTTGCGTAAAACAAACATTTAAGTGGTTTCAGCACAGTTAAAGCTCGGTTCACAAATTTAATTCGTACCTGAAGACAGACGACTGTTTATTTAAACTTCACAACAGTTCTTTATGCACAAATTTCATAAGCTCCAATCAAAGGAAATCATTAAATATAAAACAAAACACAATATTACATAAACACAATATTAAATAAACGAAAACTTAGTTTAATTTTGTTATACTTGTACAAATGCCAGTGAACGGTGTATGTGGAAAATGACGAGGAAGGTGTTATTGTTTGAATGCGAAATTTCTTTCTATAAAAATATCAGGTAATAGTCTTTAGGGGTATCTTCTTTTATCTTTTCTTTGTCTCTAAAAGCTACTCGAATCTGCTTCAGACTCATTGAACTTCTGTTTCACTGAACATTTTTATCTCATTGTCATTGAAAATGCTTATGTTGTAGCTTGCTACTGCTTTGTTGAAGTGATATCGTTAAGTGAAATTTTTGTATCTCACCTCATTACGCACAAATTATTCGGATTAGAAAATTATAATTTTTCTTTCTTCCTCTTCTCAAGACATTTCTTCCACAACCGCCTCTTGCAGTTCTTTCTTAACTTCCTAGCCTTGGTTTTACGTAAAGATGCAGTGTCATAGATAACAGAAAAGATACTAACTGCTCATAGTCAGCAACTCAATCTGGCCATTTCCTCCACACCGAATTCATGATCCTGTAAATCACTTGCTGTCAGGCGTTGTTACTGATAGTTAAACAAAGGCAAACACTAAAATGTTTTCCAGAAACCTGAGTGGTATATGTTACTTCAAAAAAAATTTGAAAATCACATGCTACTGACTTGAGTTTCGTAACTCGAGAAACCTTTCGTAAAGTGAGGCATTTGTGATCCGAGATTCCACTGTACCGCATTTTGAAGTAAAACTAAATAAATATGTTTTCAGTTTATTAAAATGTTAAGGAATATAAATAAAAAATTAATGTTGACATAATATCTTAAATAGTTGCCTGTGCATATGAGATGGGCGTGATTTTCAGAAAAGCATTTGAAGGAAGTATTAGGGCCAGTATAGCATTTGAACGAATCGAAACAACCGGCTGTAGCAGCAGGTCGAAAAGAACTATTGCTGTTAATAGTATTTTACCTGATTACAACATATCAATTTAAATTAAAAAGCTATTAATTTGAACTCAGTAGAACTTACGAAACTTTATATTTATTACTAGAATCGTAATGGAATGCACTTACGTTTCGAGTAACGTGATTCTGCAGTGCATGTTCCTGAGCACTTGGTGAGATCTGGCAGAGACTTTCCGTTCGTGCACAAACCCCTTTTATCATCAATGTATTTGAAGAATCCTCTGGTTTCATAGAGGGGCACTTGAACAGCAGAGCAAGTTTCTTAAAAAAAATTTAAAGGAAGGTTTTTATTTATTTAGATATTTTTTATTTCAATCGATAAAGAACGAAAGCAATGATAAAAGGAAATATAAAAGAAGATCGTACCTCTTGTCATCTTACAGTAAGTGCAACATCCTTTAAGATCTGTTACCACATTTTCCTGGAAGGTGAAAGAAAACGAAAATTATGCATATTTATACATAAAATAAATCTTTAAGAGCCATTGTTACATTTTGAGAAAATTTCGAAAAAAAGTGAAACCAGTTATGTCTTAACAATTTTTGTCTCTTTTCTCTTTACATCGTCATTCTTACAAATTACATTCTTACACTTCTCGATCGTCATTCTTACAAAGATCTTTTGACTTAAGTAGCCCAATTTAAGATTTATTCTGTTTATATATTTATCTATTTATATGTGTCACATATTCTGTGTTGATTAATATACTAAATATTTCCTCAAAAACTCATCTAGTGTGGTTATTATGGCTTGTCGCTTTTATAATTTTTCAAAATTATACTGTGTGATAAAATTCTTTTTGTTCAAGGACTGTACGACTAGGAAAGTTAAAGTGAGTATAAAGAAAAGGTCGCTTTTGCTAAAGAACGTGTCTAATTAAAAAACCACACTAAAAGCCATTCTGTTGTTTTCTGCATAAAATAATCAAGTAAAGGTCTCTTTACATTGTTAGTGTTCGTTTGAAATCTATGGTTTCAGGAAGAGGAAAATACCTTACAGGGAAACGGATATTTGCACTTAAATGCTGTTGATGAACTTAGATGCTGTTTAAAGCAGAAATTTCAAGATCTTGCTCTTTAAACAGCATTTAAGTTCTTCACGGCTTTGGCAGAATATAATGTTGTGAAGTAAAGATAACTCTTTTACGGATGTTATCAATATGCTTCATTTAAATTTCATATGGTAACCAAAAGTGTAAACCAGATACACATCTCTCCTCCAAAATCAATGGCCACGTGTTTTGTAGACTTTAAGTAGCAACCATGCCATTAATAATATTTACCACATTACAAATTTTCAAAATGAAAAATATATATATATGTCATAATAAGAGCAAAGGAAAATGTCGGAGCAGTGTCGATGCGTGCTTCCATCTTTCATAACGACGCACTTCACCTCTTGCTCTCTGCTGTACTAAGATGTAATTTCGCTGGCTTGCTTTCTATCCCAACAACATCAAAAATGCAAATCTTCTGTGGAAAGGCACGACTAGAGTGCCAAGTGATTGTGGCCACAAATATCAATTGGAAATAAAAATGGAATTAAAACTGCCTCGACTGCCAAGTTCTTTAAATACTACGCAATCAAAATTCTTCTTCAATATGGGTCTAATCAAGCATCTACAGTGTTCTGCTCCGTCCTTTTTCTTTGTGCTTTTAATATTACAATTAAGCCGGTAAGGATAGTTTCCTGCATCCTGAAACCTCAATGGAAAATTTAATTCAGCTCTTCAAATCATCGTTTTGTGATAAATCCAAGACAATGTGAAAGAAGTGAATCATCAAATTTGTTTTTTCAGTGTTTAAAAAATAACAGATCATTCTTCTGCTGTGGTGTTTTGCAAGTGCTTCAAAAAAAAATAAAATAATAATCACGCGTAGTGGTTACAGATTGAAAGTAATCTCTCGATAAATTGAGAAGTTCGAATGCCTAGTGAAAAGGAATATTGAATTTGCTTCGCCGATCTCTACAATATTTAGAAAAAAAAGTGCTTTAAATCATCAGTGAATTACCGTTTAGGAATTCAGCATTACAGCGGGTTCAAGGTCGATCTGAGTTAGTGTTTGCAAGTATGTGCGACAGAAAATTATTTGCACTTCTGCTTTTTCAACAGCTCAAAAATTATTACATTCGTGTGAACCTAGCTCAGGAACTAAATTATTTAATGTGCTGCGAATTCTATATGTTTCATTTCAACATTGGTTAAAATTTCTGCAATTTGTTTTGAGAAAATCTGAAATTCTTGTTCATTAATTTTTCTAATTTTTCATAATTATGTGTGAGCAAATTAAGTAATTAATTTTAAGCTATTTAAATTATTCATAGGGAAGGATATTAAGATAAGTTTTTATGTTTTTGAAATTTTGTTGAGAATTTTGAATACGAATTTTATAATTATTCTAAAAATAAAGATGTTAAAAATAAGTGAAATTAGTACAGATAAGTAATATGAAATTATGGTAAATGCATGTTAAAATTTGTGGGTTATTGTGTGTTAAGTATAGTATGATGAGGGTGTACTGGTTCCTTCAACAGAGGCCTGTAATTACCTCTGTACCAGTTTTTCCTTTTACCCTCTTCATGCAAGATAATGTTGGAGGCTCTCATTTTATGAATGCATGTAGATTTTTTATATTATTATTATTATATTTTTTTATTATGGAATGTATTAGTGCAGTTCTCAAAGGCCAGTTACCTTAATGCAAGGAACGGAGGCCTTTTCAAGTAACTGCCTAGGCACCCTGGGCCACCAGTGCAGAGAACACGCTGGTTAGCTCAAGAGGACAGCCCTATTGATGGATATGTTTGTTTAGAAGTATTGCGAGGCTTCCAGTTTGGTAAAATCAGGAATTGTAAATGAAAGATGATAACGGTGAAACCATAAATTCTGAAATCTTAATCCTATTATTTATGATGTTAAATTATAATTTATCAGTATGGAAATAAGTATCATAAATATTTATGTGCATTACATTTATTATAAGCAATGATTGTGTAAAAGTTTATTTTGTGATATTCTGTAATAACAAGAACCTTCCCTGAAGAATTATGATTATGTGAACTCTCAAACAAAAAGACTTTTGGACTGAAATGCTGAAAAATTCAATAGGACTCTAAAAATTAAAAATTTATTAAAAAAATTGATATTTATAAATTATACTTTTATAGAATCAAAATTTTATGATTTATGTTTTTTTTTTATTTGCTAGTGCTTTAATTCTTTTCTCTTTTAAAAGGCTTCTCTGTCGCTACGCCTTTTCTTTTTGAAGGGGGGAATATGTAAGATAAAAATGTATGAATCAGAATTATAATATAATTATAAATATTAATTCTTCCTCTCTATTCTAAAATCGTAATAACTTGTCTGCATTGCGTCATTCAAATTAATTATGCGATCTTACGTAACCGTTAATACCAGATGCCTCTTGACAACCAATCACCGAATTGTAAACCAAAACTTTTCTCTTCGCGTGCTTCCATCTTTCATAACGACGCACTTCAGCTTTAGCTCTCTACTCTGCTAAGATGTAATTTCGCTGGCTTGCTTTCTATCCCAACAACATCAAAAATGTAAATCTTCTGTGGAAAGGCACGACTAGAGTGCCAAGTGATTGTGGCCACAAATATCAATTGGAAATAAAAATGGAATTTAAAAACTGCCTCGACTGCCAAGTTCTTTAAATACTACGCAATCAAAATTCTTCTTCAATATGGGTCTAATCAAGCATCTACTGTGTTCTGCTCCGTCCTTTTCCTTTGTGCTTTTAATACTACATATATATATATATATATTCACCAATCGCCCTGGTTCCATCAAAACGCTGACTTACGCAAGACCCGGTAGACAACGTATATGCAGTTGTAACTCTATGGAATAGAGTCTCTTTTATCAACTCATATATGACTGAATTATTAATCATGATACCTCAGTATGAAATATTTTGCTTCTACAGTCCAGTATATCGTGTCCATCTTGCATTTAAAAAGAATGTATCCTATATTTATATCAAGAAACTATTTTATAACGGTATTAAATAAAAATAGATTGAAGGCTTCTAGGAGATAACCGGCGCTTTAAGGCAATGCTGTCAAAGTATGTAAGGAATACTTAATGTCCGGAAAAAAAAAAAAAAAAATCACTCATGCAATCGAACATCAGAGGGAATTAGTTATATGTCGATATAAGCAGATGGAACGTTGATAAAAACATGAAAGCATTAAAAGAAAAACAACAATCACTAGTGCCTTTTTAATAGCAGAAGGGGGTAGACAGTACTGAGATCGATCCACAGATGGCAAGGATATATATCAAAAACTGCACGTCACTCGCATTAGTAAAGAAGTGGGGTAATACCTTATAGATAATAGAGAAGGAAGAATATAATAGAGAAGGAAGGCCACCTTTCTTAGACAACGAACGATGTGGTTAACCAATGCGTGTCACAGATGCCATTGTTGCAAATCTCAGTGAGCTTATTCAGCAACACACGGCAACAGAAAAATTCTGTGATGCCTTCTTCAGGAAAAACGTTGTAAGAAAGATACAAATAAATCCGTTACACCTGTTACATAGAAATGTGCTCACTGCATTTAAATAATACAAGCTCTGATGTTTATGGTTCTCCGATTTTAAGGTACAACTCATCATTTTACTATTTCTAAGTTAGATCATACAAAATGTTTAATGTTTTGTCCAGGGAGCAAAGTTTTCTCTTTGTTCCGGATATGGCCTATTAGTTCAAAGTCACCTGCCCATATTCTCTTTTCCTTCAGCTGAAATGGCTTTTCGTTCTATAGAAACCCTTTATCGGTGATTGGCTTTTTGAGAGTTAGCGACATTCTGTAAACATTCTAGGACTGTAGACCTGGTCTGGAAAAATAAAGGACAACAGTAGCAACATAGGTAATTTAAATAGTTTCTTATGAAATATTTAGGAAAACCAACCAGAAATTATGGTGTTGTTTTGCCGAAATTAAATTCTTTATTCATCACATTTATTAAATACCAGTGTTGGTTTCTATACAAATACAATTTTGCAGCCTTAGGCTCTCAATTTCACAGGAAGAGATAATTAATGACTGAAAACCATCTAAAAGGTATCAAAAATACATCTCTTACCGTCGGACAATTATCCGGCATTACTGGACAACTTTCTTTGCTGTAGCGTATGAGAGTTCCATTTTCGTTGACAATACACTTTGCAGAAAAACACGGATCGGTGATCGAGTCCCAGGTGGCACCATTCTGTTAAAAAAAAAAAAAAAAAAAAAAAAAAAAAAAAAAAAAAAAAAGACAAATTTGAAAATACTGCCGAGGTTTTTCAGCTGAAACAATTAAGCTATGGAATCAAAAAAAGAAATTTTGTTTTCATGCAATAAAAATCTCTGAAGACTTCATTCTATACCATACCTCATAGATAACATCATTTTCTTCGCAAGCAAATGGTTTGCAGGATCCACAACATACTTCAGAGCCTGGCAAGGGTTCCTCGTACTTTGCATTCTGGGAAAAATAAGTAAATAATGTAAGTTAAATGTTAGTCCCTGTACGGGGGAAAAAAAAAGACATTTTTATCTCCATCGCACGAGATTGTGTATCCGGAAATTCTAAAGATTTTCATTTTAAAATTATTTTGCGATATTGCAGTTGAATTGCATTTTATGGTTTAAGTGCAAAGAACATGATATTTAATAAATAAAGGTAACCCACAAAACGTTAAAAAAATGCTCCTTTGGGTGTAATGTAAAATCTGAAAGCTTCCAGATCTTTTTTTTTTTTTTTTTAATTAAATCCAATTGCGGGCATTTGCCTCATTTCAGCACTGACTACTCCTAAGGCCAAAAACAGTGGTCATTTTACTATGGAGGAACCTAATAGGCAGCCACCATTGCCTCTTATGAAGGGACGGACAGTTACAGCCATGCTTCTCCGTGATTCGAACCCGGGCCCTTCGGTATCACAATCAAATATTTCATTTTGACCTCTTCTACAAACAAAGTTGTTCAAAAAATGCTTTCCGTTGGAAAATTAGGTTTCTTGGATGCTTTCACATTCATAATTTTTTTAAATTCTAGTTAATGATTTCCACTCTAATCTCTCTTTACCGCCAGCTTTTTCGTCAGACTGTCTTCTACTCTAATAAATTTGAGGCAGTACTTTCAGATTTATAGCGTAACCGTATAACGCTTCTGCTCTTTCCGTCAATTTTATTTCCGCAAGTATTTAACGCTTGAAATTATAACCCTGTAATTTTATTCACATTTAGCAGATTCTTGTTATTTAGTATTTGCTACTTTTTTATCATTTGCTACTAAATATTGGTTTAGTTCGTCGGCGATCTCTTTGCACAGGTAGTTTCATAAGGCAAATATATCGTTATACTTGGATCGTACAGAAATGATTCACACAACGTCTCTCACAACGAAACTATTACACTATTACAGCGAAGAGAAAACAAGTGAAATATACTCAAATTGCATAGATGGAGCTGGCAGCAAGCGAACGGTATAAGTCAGAGCCCATCTGTTTCACCGTCGTTTACTAATGTTGCACCCTGCAAATGTTTTTACTATATCTCAAGTATTTTGAATCATCTCATCATCATCCATCTTATGCCACAATAATTGCTTATCTAAAATTACTCCGAAATAGAACAACTGCTTCATGCCACCAACCTCTCCCACCACAAACTTCTCAGCTTAGCCAAAAGATGGAGCCACCGGAACGGTACTCAGTTCTCTGAAAATTTTTCCACTTAATTTTTAAAGTGGAAAGTTTTTTCATCACTAAGACGCACCCCGTAGGGTCAATAATTGCTGAGTAAAAGTCCTAGGACTAAATACTCATCTCCACCGAAATTCATGCCAATTCATGCCATCACCGTCGTCAAAGAGAGCGTGGACAGCAATGATGGAAGGTGATTATCACGGTTAGGGTTGGACAGAGTGGTTCCGGTGGAAGGACGGCATACAGGGTAGTGACATCCATCGCCGCATGGTGTCGGTTTTCGAGAACAAAGCACCCTTAAGGCGTACCGTATCTCTTGGTTGGCCAAGTTTCAGCAGTGGACTGGAGGCCGCAGGCAAAGGTGTCAGTGTGTCACGACCAGCAACATCGCATACAGCAGCAAATGTGGCAGCGGTGGCGGATTTGATCATAGCGAATAGGCGCATAACGTTCAACAAGATGCAGGAAGGAACATTGCAGGCGATTGTGCATGTTGATTTGTAGATGACAAATGTCTGTGCAAAGTGGGTGGACCTTGGACTTTGAAACAAGACCTCGGACTACGCCTTGCTTGACAAGATGAAGGACGCAGTCAGGGGCCAACATGCTGAATTTTCTGCCGAATTGCATGCAAATGTCCATAGGTGGTGCACCAACACCCCACAGAACGGTTTACCAAAGCCCTTCGGGACCTCACAGTCAGATGGCAGAAGTGTACTGACATGAGCGGGGATTATTTCTAACCGATGTACTATCAGCTTTTTGCCAATAAATTGCAGTCCGCTCTGTGGCAGCATTTGTGTCATTCATTTCTGTACGACCTAAATAAATTTTTGCTGCTGAATTTTGTTATTCAAATGAGAATGAAATTATACTTACAATGGAACACGTCTTATTGCATCTCGTAGTTATTTCCAGAACTATTGCTTCTCCATCTTTATCCGTGACGCATCGGTAATTCTTGCACTTGTCCCCTTCAGGTGAGGGCCATTCCTGTCCGATCTAATGAAGGAATGTCTTAAATTACTATTTGAAGCTATCGTTCATGCAAACATTTCATCGTTTTACAGATAAAGGGCTATAATACTCATTCATATATTGTAATTTAACTTTTTCTACATTTTCTAAAACAACGCTGTTTTCATATTGGAATAGTATTTCAGAATTCACTTGATTTATAAAATTTAACATTTCCGCTCGGCTTTCATCTTTTTGGAACCATAATGCAGCAATATCCGGGCGAAGATTACCGAGTTCTGTCTTAAAAATAAGTTTAGTTTATTTATTGCGAAACGAAATAACAATTAGCGCCCCAAAACATCAGCATGAAATAAATCTCTCTTATGGAAAATACGAACAGGAGAAAAAATGGAGTAGTATCAGAGATAGAAGTCTTCTGTATTACCACTTTTAGTTTCTTCATTTCTAATGATGTTTATTCTTCCGTCATTTGCAGTGTTTTTGTTTTGAACACCAATTTAATTTACTCAACGAAAGAAACTTATTCTTCCCATTAAACAGCTTGGAAGTATAGGTAAATTTCATTGTTGTTCTGACTTATTTCATTTATTCGACAGTAACGTTAGCTCAGGCAAACATGTATTTCGCGTGAAATGGGTGCTCGCGTTTCATCGCTAACCCAGAGTTTCGAACACATATACCGTTCTAAGAGTTCGTTGAAACGAGAGAACGCAAAAGTGAAAGTCTATCAAGATGTCAACACGGGTTACATAGTAGCAATACATCCAGAGCACATAAATAAGAGTTCGATCGAGACATGATTTGCAGAACTGCTACTAGTCTTGGCTACTTCGAAGACAGTGCGCAATTTAAATAGCAGTTATAGGTACGAAAAAAAAAAAAAAAATGCCAGAATTGCAAAAACAGATACGGGGGGGGGTATAGATGCAAGAAAGTAACTATGGCTGGATGATATAAGAAATCAAGATGTAACTGAAGAGGAGATTCAAAAGTTCAATAGTCATCTTATTGAACTTTAAGCACAGGTATGGAAAAACGATTTGAAGATATTTTGAACTTGAAGATGTACGGCTAGATGAAAATTCTTTTTACTGCACAATAATACTGAGGTTGGTAATATTTAACAAGAAAAATTGTTAGAACTCAAATAGTGATGATGAAAGTAAACATAATTTAGATAGTGGCTAGTACGAAAACCTTTGTCTGGATAAAAATATCTAAAGCGGATACCGCATTAACTCCCTTGTACGGCCTAGTAAATTATGCACACTTCTTGCCTGCATTTCATTTAAACTTATTTTCTGGAATTTCATTAGAAATATATTTCTCATTCAGTTAATTCAGCTCTCACTTCGCGGCAAGGCAAACCACATTAAAAACTCAAAACAATTTCATTAAAAACTGTAAAATACTGGAAAACATAAAACACCAAATACAGTTAAAAACAGAAAGATAAAATTAAAATTAGAGTTTATAGGAAAAAGCGAGCAATTCGGCCATCGAGCAGGAAGACAGAGTTTTCGATGCATAAATTTGAAAGTTTACTTTTGCTCCCACTCGGTAAAAAGACACTGAAGTTGGTGCATAAACTGACTTAATTTACTATTTTACTAAGAGTTTCAAATGTAAACAAATGGGGGCCTTAGTACCACTAAACTTTTAAATTGTTCCACAACTACTGCATGCAGATTAATTAAAGAAATAAAAACCTTACCCGGAACATGAGAACAACATAATTCAGTCACTTTTAAAGCAAAAAGTGCAAAATTTGCCAACATATAATAATAAAAAAAAATGACCTCACCAAGCCGTGTAAGAGAGTGTGTATATATATACATTTATTTGGTACGACCGAATGCAACCAAAAAGCGAGGTGCACAACTACATGTTATAGCAGTACCATATACAAAATTTCAATGTTCTGAGGCTACTCATTTTCGAGTTATATGAGATACATACGTAGATACGTGCGTACGTACAGACGTCACGGAAAAAAATGTCTTCTGAATCCATTTTAAATCGATTTTACATTCCGTTTTGGGAAAAAGAGTCCTTTATTCTGTTCGTACGTACTGATATCACGCAGGAACATCGTTCAAATGGATTCGAGAGCGGTCAAAATGTTATTTTTTTAAAAAATATGATAGCCGAAATTTTTCACGATTACAATACTTCTTTTATTCCGTACAAGGAAATAAAAATGCCTGCTTTATATCCGAATATGTAGAAAGTTATATTTAATTTATTGATACTTTTCCCTGCCTCATATCTTGTAGAATCAGGCTTTAGTGCTATCAATAGTATCATGATCAAATAGATAAGCAGTATGAATATTTCGTTGGTTCCTTACGAAAGTTAAACCAGAGATCATATATTTCGTCTCGCAGCATCAGACTCAAGGATCCCATTAATAATAAATTTAAAGTTTTAAATTTAATTAATTTCTTTTTAAATGTAAGCAGTTTTTTGTTATTTTGTAATAAAGCTGGTGGGCTGTAAGGAAATTTTAATGTCTACAAAATGAGCGGATGAGTATAAAAAGGTTGACTACCCCAGCTATATACTAAAGCATGCAAACTGTCTGAGCCCGACGATAGAGCAGGCAGCAACACCAACCTCTACAGCGATAGTAAATTGTTAATAGCATTTTTTTTAGTAATCAGTAATATGTACGATTCATACCATCTTCGTGATTCAATTCACCTCAGATTTCTCCCGTAATTTTGAGGTAAACAACAATGTTGTCTTTATTGTCGCTTAGAGAGTTGATTGTAATTGAAGAGTTTTGAGGGAGGGGGTATATGGCGCAGAATCATAATACGCATCACGTCTATAATATCTTAGGGTTAATTTTTGAAACAAATTCCAGAAAACTTTCCAACCAGTGACTAGCGGCATTTATCAAAATGATGGCTAAATTTGTTTTTCCTGAAACGACATCTGCTTACGGATAGAATTTTCTACGCAGTTAACCGTTTACTTTGATCAATGAACATCTGCTGTTACGGATGGCAAAGCTTGGCAAAAAGTAGCAATTAAAGTTTTTCTGTAAAGCGAAATTTAATCTTGATTTTGGTTTAAGAAAATTATGACTGAAGATGAAAACTAATGCTTTGCTCTTATAATCCTGAGATAAAATACTAATAATCAACTGCTTCGATTAGAGAAGATTCGCCATGGTGACAGAATTTTCGGTTTCAGGAAAAGAAAAACACCACGTTGGTGAACGTTTTTGACTTGAAAGGGATAAGCCCTAGGGAAGTTTTACCCGAAGAACAAATAGCGAATTCCATATTTTATAAAGACTGGAAAGAGATAAGTCCTAGGAAAGCTTTACTCGAAGAACAAATAGTTAATTCCATATTTTATAAAGACTGGAAAGAGGTAAGTCCTAGGAAAGTTTTACACGAAGAATAAATAGTTAATTCCATATTTTATAAAGACGTAACGTTTATATATTACGTTCTCCATCCTTTTTGTTAGAAGTTCAACTTCCCCCCCCCTGCTTTTTGGCCATTGTTTAGAGGATCGTTCCCCTCTCCTTTCCCAAACTCGAAAAATAAATATCTACATTTATCCAGATTTAGATGATTTTTTAACGTGTTATGTAAATTAACCAAAAAAAAAAAAAAAAAAAAAAAAAAAAAAAAAGGGTGCAGAAATTGTTCATAAATACCAAAATCTGAATAAAGCAGATTTTTTAAAAATATATTCATAAACTAAGTACTTAACAGCTAAGCAAAAGCCTGACTGCATTCCACCAAACTATGAAATTCTGCCCTGGGTGAGAACCTTTGGTTTAGTAAAGACGTAACAGAATTCAGTCCGTTGGGCCTGAACGCTCGTTTGAACAGCTGCTGGAAGATAACTGCGTTGTCACATATTGTATTCTCGCAAACCAGTTTTTAGCAAAGAAACATATCCCAATCACATTTCACATCCATTCTCTATTATTCATGAAATTCCCCCTTTCAGTCTACTTTCTCTTCTCTAAAGTAAAATCCTAACTTAAAAGTCATTATTTTAAGAGCACTGAAGAGATCCGGATAACCCTTAATATACTTTAAATAGCATTTCAGCAGATGAGTTAGATAAACGAATCGAGTACCTGTATGAACGTGCCCAGGCATTGCATAAACATATAAGCGCTGTGCATCGAAAATTAAAAAGTAAGCATGCAGTTTCTTCAACTTTCGATTTTTACGAACTAAAAGCTTTGTAGAAATATTGTGCATTACAGGTTATTGGAATACTGGAAAAGGACACGAGAACTATCTGCTTAAGGGAAGCATTGCTTTCGTGGAGGACCTTTTAAAGAAAATTGGCTTGTATCCATGCAAAAAACCGCGAAAACTAACCATGTAGCCAATCTGGGTCGAACTCCCAGTGTTCAGCGAAATTATATGTAATTGGTAGTATATGACTACGCCATATTCGCAAATGTTGGTCAGCCAACAATTGCGAAAAGAAAGGCAAGGTAAGGGTCTTTTAAGCCGGGTAGGAGGGTGGGATGTAAACGTAAGATATAAAATATGAAAGAAAATTTCTAAAAAATTACTAACTTAACTGGCAACAGCCCTTTAATTCCTGATTTTATTTTGAATGCGTCACCTTTCAGAGAATCTGTACTGCGTTACTTACGCCATCATTTCATTTGCAGTGATCTGAAATGCGAAAGCTCTTGCCCAGTCACCATTCAGAACTCAAACAAAGGATTTCGACACTATATATGCCCCAGCTTTTTCTCATTTCCGTCATCTAACTAGCATCTGTTCCCCCGCTTTATAGCTTTCATCTATTCTTTAACAATGTGATTAACGTATATAAAGTTGTAGGACGCTTATAGCATCCTACCGATAAATCATGTGCTAAGAAATTAGTCATCCAGAAATAATACGATGTTTTAACTATCAAGCTAGTTGTGCTTCCCAAAGTTGCAGTCATCTGACACGCAATCTGTATTTGAGGTACCTCTGTCACCATCCCAACATGACAGCAAAATAAGTAGTGCCTTCTCTAGTGTGTTGTTTCGTCTAACAATATTATCAATTATATAGACGTTTGTGCCGCTGACTGCAATAAAAAAGGAGGTGCACAACTACATGTTATAGCAGTATCATATACAAAATATCAACGTTCTACGGCTAATCATTTTTGAGTTATCCGATACGTAAAGACGTCACGGAAATATTCATTTTGAATCCATTTTACAATCCGTTTTGAAATAAGGAGTCCTTTGTTGTGTCCATACGTACAGACATTACGTTAAAATGGATATTTCCATTGAAAATCTGATAAACGAAATATTTCGTGATTACAATACTTCCTTTCCTTCGTACAGGGAAGTAAACAGGGAGAGTCTAGGAACGCACCAAGAAAGCTGTTTTCTTTCATGAACCGCCCGTTTGTTGTCCCAGCTTGTTTCGGCGAGCAATTTCTGGTAGTTGCCATCCTATTTTTTATTTGTTATTTGGCAATATGTTTTTCTGGTATTTGCTATGGTGTGCTAGAGTGTTTCTGTTAGAGTATTCTGAGGCATTTTCTATCTTAGGGCTTGTGAATAACTGGTATTAAACCTATATAGCTGTGAATATTAAACCTATTTATTATTTATTGTAAATATAAATTTAAGCATTTTGTATTTCCAAGACCCTTACAAGTTGAGACGTATATGTCTTTTGTAATAAACTAAACCCTTTAGTGCTGCAATTAAACATCTCAATAAAAATTTAATTGTATTACTAAATGGTTTTACTTTTTGTCTGTGTTCTTAAGAGTTAAACTTCAAATTACAGCGTGAAGCAACAGATCGTCCGTACCATAGAAAGGCTAAACGAGATGTAATTTTAAGAGGCAATTACTTTTAATGTAACACAGTCATATAAGAAATTTCAAAAATTGTTTTAATAATTAATATTTTGTAAATGGTTCTTATTCGTTCAGATTTATTATTGCAGATTCATATAAGTAAACAACACGGTCACTAAATACAATATTCATGCAATGCATAATCAAGATTTTAAATTAATATTTATATGAAAAAGAATACGGAAAGTTAGATTTGATAACTTATTACGGAATTTTTTATATACATCACTGATACATACCTCAAAACCTATTCCACCTACTAAACAAGCTACTCGACGATACTGTGGGCAGCAAGCTCCAGGAACAGGTATTACCTCATGGACGTATTTCTGAAATAAAAAGAATACTCATTATTGTTTTGTTGAAGATCAAATACTTTCTGGCTCTCTTTCTATACATACATACATAAATATATAAAGATATTTTTCCTTTGTTAGGTAGCTTGCCACTCTTGAGCAAATTAGTAGTCGACTTATTCCATTCATTGTCATTAATTTGCTTTGTTTGCAAATTCGTGACATTGTTATTTCAGAAACAAGCTGATTAATTTACTTCTTTCGTTATAACAATCCTTGATGATGATGTCAGATCAGAGACATCAGAGCATGCTGAGAAATTACTTTTGATCTGGATGGTGGAAAAATATTTATGTATTGTGTTTTATTCAAGTACAGTATATATTTTAACCACTGCATTTGTATTTTCATATTAAATAATGTTGGATCTAATAATAACACTACGATTTTTTTATTAGAACGGATTAATTATTTTCCGTTTATTTCTTATTGGAAACGTTCGTTTGGTATACGTCCAGTTTGGTATGAGTCCAAAAATCTTCAGCGTATTAATGACGTATACCGAGGTAACACTGTATTATGATTGTTATTATTCACTGTGTACCAACTGTTCCATAATCATCCAATCCAATAGACACCCATGCAAATACCGATACTTGAGGCCCTGATATACGTCACGCCCTCTGCCGTTAACTACCGTGTAGGAAACGACATTGGCATTAATCACATGCAAGATGCCACGAAGTACACAGTTATCTGATTTCGAAAAAGGTTTAATAGGCGGGTATCGCAGAAATGGCCGATCCTTAAGGAGCATATCTAGCGAGCTAAATTACCCAAAATCATCAGTGGACTACGTGATTCAGAGGTAGAAGATAAGCGGCGATTGTCGGAATGTGCCCCGAGTCCGCCTGCTCAAGAAACTGGGAATTGGGAAAGACCGACTGCTGTCCAGAGAAGTTCGGAAGAACCACACCCATCCGATGGCCCACTTTAGCAGTTTCAACAGGCATCCGGGGGTGTTGTTTCGACGAATACCATCCGTAAGAAAGCATAATCTTGTTTGGTTTTCATGATCGTGCTGCCCTTAGTCATAAGCCAAGCCCAACCGCGCCGCTCCGTTAATTTGGTGCAAAGCATTTCGACAATGGATCAGCGGAAATGAATTCTCTTGGAGCGACGAATGAAGGTTCATCCTATACCGTTCGGATGACCAGGTCTGATTTTGGCATCTGCTTAGAGAATCACTCCTGTCAGAATTCATTGTGCCCACAGGAAAGTTCGGTGAAATTATGGCCTGGGGGTGTTTTTTCTAGTATGGACTATGACCCTTTGATCCAAATTCATAGTAAGCTTAACGCCGATGCCTACTGCAGACAGTGTGCTTCTAACGTTGTGACAGTTTTAAGGCTTGGACAAATGTTACTTTCAGGATATAATGCTAGCCGTCATGTTGCCAGGTCCACCATAGACTAGTATGGTGACAATGGGGTTAACCTGACCTGCCCACAGCCAAGACCTGAACCCTAACCAGAGCCTCTGGAACGAATTGGATCGCCGAATTAAGGGGTGCAACAACCGTCCAACATCGGTGAAGAAACTTAATGTCTTCTCCTAGAAGAAAGGAAGAAATCAATAGCCGTCATACAAGAATTTGTGGAAAGCATGCTCCGGATGGCTGAGGCTTTGAGGCTGCTATTGCCGCTCGTGGAGGCTTTACCTACTATTGAATATGAATAAATTTTGTTTTTCTTTTCTATCACAAGTGTCCAAATACTTACTGGTAGATAGTACAGTAACTGAATGTATTTACAGAGCAAATGTTTTCAGCTATGATACATCGCAAAGAAGATACAGGTTTTTCACCCCCAGAATCTTTTTAATGCGTTTAAAAATTTTTTGCATTTATTGAAGACAAAATAAACCAGTTTTTGAACGTAATTCGAAATTTTTGGGGATAAGATAAGAAATAAATTAATACTGTGTGTTTATTATTTATGCATATTTCAGTATATGGCCTATAAGTAAATAGTATTGGTTAATGCAGCTTGGTAACTAAGTCTAACAGCCCTGTAAAAACCAGTTAGCTCAGTCTGTTACTGCTATCCTATTATAATGCATTTGTTTCATTTAGGGTACTAAATATTAAGATTTAACTACATGGGATGCACAGGATGGGTTAGTGATGATAGCGGACCACGTTCTGTGGCGTGGAGCAACACAGCTTTAAATCGGAAAAGAAAGCTAAAGTAAGAAAAATACTTGGTTATTAATTATGAAGGTCTGGTATTCCCCTTACTTTTACCTCTACATAGCGTCCATACAGATGGAATTGGAAACTCTGAAAAAAGGGACTTTTGTTGGGAAATTACAAGAATCTTTGTCGATTTCGGTACGCTGTACCTAACAGTCGAATTACTTATGCACCATACGAAAATACATTTCGTTAGAAATAAAACAAAGTACTGTTCCTTATTTAAGAAGATTCTTGTAAAGATTCAAGCAATTATGAGAATCTAATTTCCGTCAACAGTATCCCGTTGTGAAAGAAGTTGTAATGTATTACAAAATGGAGAATGGTACAGCATTTTCAGTAACGTAAATAAATTAGTTTAAGACGCCTGTTTTCGCTTATATGAGCATATTACCTTGCATAAATTCTAAGAAAATCTGCATTAATCGAGAGATATCGAGATGACTAATAATATTATTCAGAAAACTGATGGTCAAAGAATCACATTTTCCAATTTTCTGCAGGCGAAATTCTCAGAAACATCTTTCGCTCCGAATTAGATTTTTTTACATGGGTTTCATACACACAAAAATATTTCAGTTTTAGTTAACGATCCCCAGTTCCAGTCCGTCTTTGCCCTCAGCTTTTAAGGATATTATTTCATAGTTGTTTTCATATTTTTATCAATAGATGGTGCCAGTAGCTTTATTTACTTATCACTGTTATCGCTGAAGCGCAGGTTTCCCTGTCATTTGCACTCCTCTAGCTGAAGGAAAATATTCTATATTCAAGCTTTCGCTCTAGTCCTAAAATTTATAACTATTAAGATGATACTTGTTTCCTTAGCACTTTCAATAACAATCTTATGTTAAACTATTCAGAAATGCAGGCGAATCTGACTTTTTTTATGGATGACAACGCACACTCTACACCGAACAAACCTGGTTCATGATTTTCTTGAAACGAATTACTACTAAGAAAAAACAAATAGCCTCTTGCTTTACTAATTTACCTTATGATCTTTATTCTAATTTTTAAAATTTTTATTTTAAAGGTGTTGAGTCGAACATTTACCGTACATCCTAGCTATTGTATCGCACGAATCCAATTTTTCGTTTTTCTAATTTCTCTTACATTTCAATGCTTTTCAGTATACATCAGAAATTTTAAGAATTTTTCATCAGAATTTTTCAGTATCCACATATTATCAAAGTTTTGGGACTACTTATGCTGTGATTCGACATGTAACTTTTTTTTAAAGGATACTGAATATGAATTCTGAAAAAGTTGCTTTAAATAAGATGTGTATAAGTTTTATCGTTTAGTTGAATTATATGCACAAACAAAATGATATGAGTTACAAGCTTTACACGAAGAAAGATATGAATGTTATTTAGTGAAGTCATTACTTCAGCAGCCTGGGAACTCGAGATCACTGGACATATCTGGACTCGGCAGCTTGACACGTATTGTCCTTCGGTTTCGGTGCACGAGCAGTTTCGGCAGAGTCCATCCCACCAAGAATCGCCAGCCTGAAAAAAAGAATATAAATTACTAGTTCCTAAATTCTCTTCATTTATAAATTAAATTGAAAAAAAATATCTGAAAGGTTTCAGATTTTAAATTACGTCCAAAGGGCCGTTTTCTTTTAACGTTTTATTGTTACCTTTATTTATTAAATATCTCATTCTTTGCATTTAAACCATAAAATTCAGTTCAACAGCAATGTCACCAAATAATTTTAAAATGGGCATATCTTTGGAATTTCCGATACGCAGTTCCGCGCGCTGGAGATAAGAATTCCCCCCCCCCTCGTAGAGTGTTGCCATTGCTGGTTTTTAAATCCTTGAGTTTGTTAATCAAAAATTTCGTTAAAGTTTTACAAAATATGAAATTGATAATAAAACAAATTCCAAATTTTAAATTTGGGCTTTCAGATGCCCATATTCGTAGTAGGATTACGTCATTCAAAATTGGATGGCTCTAGGTACCGTTGTTTTATTACAATGCGAGACATACATACTTTTATGCAGATTCTTCATTATTTAATTTCTTCAAATATAATACAGGGCGACAGTGTTTGGTGGCAACGATTAAAAAAGTGATACAGCCTTTTAAAGTTTTCAAAGCAAAATCGCAAAAACGAAAAACAATAGTCCTTCAGGGACAAAGCCCTTTTGGACTAAAAAACATAAAGCAAGGGACCAGGGAGCTGTATAAAAGGTTATAAACATAGAATGCGAAATCTCTCCTGGGGGCGGATATTGAGGCTGCTTATAATAATAAAAATTAAGAAAAATCATATGTTGAAATGAAATGTTTTTAAATATTGCATTTATAAAAAACAAGCACATAAATGACAAGCCTAATTTCTTTGCAAGTAATTCTTTACAGAAAAAAAAAATCTGATGTGGTCAATCCGAAATGACCTCCCGCCAATTCCATGTTTTATATAGCAACGAAAGAAGTTTTATATAGAACAAAGCTTTAAGTAATTATTTTTAATGGATAAATTAGGAACAATGAGATCGATTGTTTCATGCAAACATTGGATGATGATATGAAAAGATTACTTGTGACTGATTCTTTTGATAAAGAGAATACGCAGAAATACTTTGTAAAAGCTTTCTTACTAAGAAATACTTTCTGAAAACTTCTTATGTAGAAAAACTTTTGATAAACTTCGATATAAAGTACAAAAAGATTTGTAAAGTGCCAAAACTGACCCTCGATTACAGTACCATGGATTAGCTTTTTGAAAAACCATCAATAAAAAGTAAGTATTCAGTAAAACAAAAGTGATGTTTTAATAACTAAGTTAACAAGACAAAAAAGTTGGGTTAGCAGGAGTAAGTTTAAGTGCAGAGAGAGAAATTGTGAGTTCAACAACAGTATAGGAAACCTTAATAATAGGAAACCGATAGGAATGGTTTAACATAGGAGCCCGATGAAGATACGCGTACCCTCTTAGATTTTCAGTCCAAAAGGGACATTAGTCCCGAATGGGATATTAGTATCAAAACGGCATTTTGCGTAGAATCTCTGTAAACCAAAGAGGTCACAATATATGGAGTAAGCATGGCGTCACAAAAATGAAACAAAAAGGTGTTAACAACGTGACTTCACGACTTATCATGGCCGCCATACAGCGTACGGTTAAGACTGCGAAATATATTGTTAAATAAAATTACATTGATTTTGACAGAAAAGATCAACGTTTGCAGGCTCAGAGAAATATCTTTGGGCAGAATTTCCATAAAATACCATTGAAACTTCCACTGGCCTTCCTAGGTTTTAACATGTTTACATTTTGTCTTGTGTTGCCATTTACGCATTTTCATGTACCTAGGTTTTATTAAATCTGAAAGATTTATTTGCAGTTTTTGTGTTTTTTCTATATACTAAGGAGAAAATCCTCTATGTTAAGTATTGAAATTAGAATAGGAGGCTTATAAGCATCCAATATTGAATAGCTAACATATAGACAACACCGATTAGAGTGTAAACAAAACCAACCAGAAGTCGCCAGAAGTTGGCAGCGGCCATGATAAGTCGTGACGTTTAATGGCTTCATTTTCATTTCACGGGACATACTGGGAAGGCTTACTCCATCTATTCTAACTTCCTTGCTATAAACAGTGTATCACTTAACCATAGTGGAACATGGGCACATGGAAGGCCGAATTTTGAATTTCGAATTTGTTTTGTTATCTATTTCATATTTTGTAAAACTTTAACGAATTTTTCATTAACAAACTCAACAATTTCAAAGCCAGCAATGGCAACACTGCACGAAAAAAAAAAAAAAAAAAAAAAAAAAAAAAAAAAAAAAAAAAAACATTTTTATCTCCAGCGCGCGAAACTCTCTAGCGGAAAATATCAATTATAGTAAGAAAATAATGTAATCTTTAACAAACATGAGTTTAGTTTTCATTATTTTTTTAATTTTAGCATTTTTTTTATTGCAATATTTTATTGTTGTTCTATGTAGAAAGATGATTTTAGAGAATCTCAAAAGTACAGTTGAAAGAAATGAGTCCAGAAAGTGAGCGGTTTGGTTGAGTTCATTCCACTGATCTCATTTCTTGTTTGATTCTTTCTGCTTTTCCTCCATATTTGCTCACCGCTATTATCCAGGCCTGTTCCCAGCGCATTTATGAAGATCATTGTTAATGAGCGGTGAATCGTTAAAAACAACTGATTCACTTTAGTGAGCGAACGATTCCGATCTGATCCTTTAAAGGAGGGGTTTTTCCCATCTCTAGCGCTAACTAAAATATGGTGGACGATAAAATTCTTCACTACCTGTATTTGACGACTAGGTCCAAAGCCCGATATATTTTCGTGGTGTAATTGCAAGCATGTTCGGCTACTAATAGGAAGGTCCGGCATTTGAATCCCGGTAGCAGTACTGCATATTTTTCATGTACCGAAATGGACCTAATGGATTCGAAATTATTGAAGTGAAACATAATTGAATACAAACACTTATTGTTTACATATTGGTTGAATTTTCATGTAAAATTCTGTATATGTTTACAATAAGTCAAAAAATGCATATCAGATAAAATTCAATAAGAAAAATTATGCGGAAAATGACTAGGGATGCCGAAATGGAATTTGCACAATTTAAGCTTCATTAATATGATAATGAAACTGTAAAATCATTAAGTTATTTTAAAGCAGGAAAGGTGAAAAAAAAGCAATGCTCTCCAGGGACTCGAAGCTGGACCTCTCGTATACATGTCGAGTGTGCTACCGTTATACCACAAAAGAACGCAGAAAGGAGCGAGAAAATAGGGCGACTGGGGATTAGAGGAACCATCGTCAAATCCTCGTGGTTAAGAATCATCATCCCCCACCGTTTAGTTCGGGCGCCAGTGCAGAGTAAATAGGGTTTTTTGAAGCAGGAGTACATGAAAAATGAGTAATGCCCTCGCCGGGACTTGAACCTGGAGCTCTCGAATACGTGCCGAATGTGCTACCGTTACACCAGGAAGGTATGTAGAAAGGAGAGAGAAAATACCTTATATATTCCCCCTTTTAAAGGGTGACTGGGGATTAGGGAACACAGTCGCCGAATGAAGCATCATCATCCACCACCTTTTAGTTAGGACGCCACTGTTTAGGGACATTAGGTTATTTTAAAGCAGGAAAGTTTAAAAATCAGCAATGAACTCGCTGGGATTCGAACCTGGACCACTCATATACGCGCCGAGTGTGCTACAGTTACACCACGTAAGCATGCAAAAAGGATGGAGAAAATTCCCTATAAAACTTCAAACCGTATACAAATTTTATTTGCACAATTTAAATTCACTGCTGAAAAGCATTTTTATTAGTAAAGGCTAAAAATTAAAAACCGGGAGACCCGGAGATGTGTCAAAAAACTGGAAGAGTTGGCAGCTACGTATATAGTATTAATCACAATGCTTACTGAATATTCTACTTCGTAGTAATTTTCTGGCAGCAAGTTGACTTGCTTTCCATCCAAGACATCAAACTGGTGTTGATACACGCAAACATTCTTCTTCGGCACACAGTTATATTTAATGCAACACCTTCCTTCGAAGGTGGCAATTTTGAAACCTGGACCACAAAGAGGCGGCAATTCGCATTTCTCAGGATAGCAAATGGTCTTGTACTCCGGGCAACAACCTACAGTTTCGACAGTGTTCACTTCACCATCGTAGAGGGGTGGTTCCACAAGGGGAGGACACATGTCTGGAGCACATTCTGAAATATAGTAAATGTACAGTTAATAAAAGGCTACGATTTTATACTGAATTTTTTAAAAGGAACACATTATTTTATCCCTGTTCTTAAGTTTTATGATCTTGAATACTGTTGCCGTTATTCGCATCAGAAGGGGTTTAACTTTTTAATCTTTTACTCACTAAACTTTAAATCTCACATTAAGTTTTCTGTTTTAGGCAGTTTCACGTGTAGTACATTTTTACTGTTTGTTTATTATAGGCATACTATGTAATACACCCAAACGCAGTTTTAACTATATAAAGCTTGAGAGTTGCTTAACATATCCCAATATAACAAATTACTGGAAATTACCGTCTCTTTCTTTTAAATCCCTAACAATCTGGGTTTCCATGTTTAAGGACGTTTTATTGAGTTGACGCCTTCATTTTCAGAGGCGATGTTCGCTTTCATTTGCTATATCAAGCGCGATTTTACTGTTCCAAGGTTTTCTTTCAATATGATGAAAGTCTAGTGACTCAGATCTGGAGAATTTCTTGGCCTAAATTCTTTGAAGACGGGGCGAATATGATGGCTTGGAAGACGTTGATTTAATTTGTGATAGACCTTTAGGTCGCTCCATCATATCTGAAGAAACCGCAACGCACTGTTGTTTAACTGACAAAAATGTCAGTCATCTGCCTGCTTACCTTACCAAAACTGATAGCAAATAGTTTATCAAGGAGCTCGATGTCGAAAACTGACAAAAATTGCAAAAGCCACCGCAATATTATACTAGGCAACAAGACATGACAGAAGTGTGTTGTAGTGGAAAGAATATGTAATTGATATCGGAAATTGTTTAGTTATATAGCTCTTGTGTATGTAATATATTAAACATATTAATAAAACGGATTCGAATGAAACATCTTGTACGATCTCGGCCGTAATGAATAACTCTGTAATTTACAGCACTTGGTCGAAGTTATATGTGTATGTATTACTGACAAAGCATTTCTAATGATTAATGAAATGGTTTTAGCCATTTGCTAAAAATGCACATACCACATTTATATGCTGGACAACCATCTTCATTAGTGAACTTGACATTTGCTTCTCCTTTCGCACATTTTTGAAGAATCGGTTCTGGACACTCTACGATTTCTTCGACTGCAAATAAACGAAAAGTAATCAAATGATTTTATTTCCTGTAAATACTTCATTCTCACTGAAGGAAAATGATTAGTAATATAGGCGGGAAAAGAAGAGCTTACTTACTACACTGGTAGGCATCGCAGCAAGTATTTACCGCTTTAATCAGTTTTTCTAACTTTTCATTTTCATTGCATATGGGAGGTTCAGGACATTCAGTAACTGTGCAGCGAGTCGACAGATCTTCCAAGCATTTGCATTGTTCACATGGTCCTACATTCCAAGCATCACCAACAATGTGACCCAAAGCATCGCAAGTCTCGCAGAGGATAGAATCGATGCATTTGCCTTGCTTCAATACTTGACCTTCTGGGCAGGTACAAGTATAAAGCGGCATGAGGTCACAGTCATCTGCATCGTAATCCTTGTAATTGTCGCAGGTTTTGGGACAGGCTGAAGTGCACTCGAAATGCATGCCTTCCGGGCACGAACTTTCTGAAAGTAAGACAGGAAAAGAATTACTTTTACAGCAATTCAGCTTAAACGTATCAAAGAATTTCAAGTTCCTCCAGGTCTCTATTATATGCATGTTGTACTAATGACTTTAAACTAGATTGCTTGTAGGGTTTATATTTATTTTAACTAACATTTATTTTAAGTTTAAACTATCTTTCCTGTCAAGCCTTACTTTGCCCTGGAACTGCCAATGCCAGAGTATGTAAATTTTTAGTAGAACGCGCAAGGATTCAAATTATCAGCGGAAGTATTCTGAGTTAAATAGAAAGGGAAACGAGTTCGAAGTGTGCTTTTCTTACTTCACGAGCGCAGAGGTAGTTAGTCAGAAATTGAAGAACCACGCGTTTCGGCCTGTGTGCTTGCCTAGGCAAATTGTTAATCTTTCAACGTGATATTCAGAGTTTGCTGAAGTATCAGCGGTATTGTAAAACGCGGTGAGGTTAGTTACGTTTAGAGAGCCTCGTAGCTAGTGACTTGTTAGTATCTCGTTTAGTTTCTTATTTTTATTTTACCGCCGGGTCGGCGTAGTTTGTGAGCGTCAAAGAGCACGCATTTGTAATTTCTAAAGTTAAATAAAAAGGGACTTAAACCCTTCTCAAGACTTTGTCTAGAAGGCGGAAGTTGTCGTTTGTGTGAAATTACGCATAAATCTTGGAAAATGAACTTTATAACATGAAAATATTTAGAACCAAGGAGAGAATTATACACAAATACAACGTACGATGACAGAGGGATACACAGTTTTAAAACAAAACTAAGGATTTGTAAGATTTTAAATACATACACGTATTTACTATGCCATAAAATCCTCAACTTGGAAATAATGCATTAAGTTTCAATGTATAAAACTCTATATGTGCTCAATAATATCACGCTCTATGCGCTGTTATGTAAACAACTGGATTTCGGAGAAAGGTATAATTAGAAGTGTGATAGACCGAGCTGTAATTAATATCTATAGCGCTTTAGATCACCTCTTTTAAAGGGTGTTGGAAACCCCTATACGGACAGTGTTAAATAGATCATTTTCGATGTACCTTTGCTCAAAATCTGTTGTAGATACACGCTTGAAATTTTTTGTGTAATTAAAGTATACCTATCTGATTATACCGAAATGAGCTTTTGAAACATTTTGAATTTTAGAGTAATTTACAGAATATTTTGTTAGGCATAGTAAAATTTAGGCCTTTCTCACACAAAAAAATTTAAAAAAATCTTTTATTTCTTACTTTATGACAAAAAGCTCATTTCAGTAAATAATAGGAAACATAATAAATTAACCCATAAAAAGTTTATATACCTGTGAGCAGTAGTTCCTGAGAAAAGGTACATCGAGTATAAAAATATCACGTTTCGAGAAAAACGCGTTTTTATGTAAAACTCCTCATTTATCACAGCATTCGGTGACAAATTAAAACTAGATTTTTTATAGTTATAATTTCCATAGAGATTAAAGAATGGTATTTTTAGAAAGCTAAAAGTGTAGAGAATCTGCAAATGCAAAAATTCGAAATCACCATTTTTTAAAGATTTTTGGCTTCTTAGAAAGATGTGAAATATGAATGACCAGAGAAAAATATCAACATTCCATATATATTCTTAGAAGTTTCTACTTATGTAAATCAAGTAGTATACTTAACTTACAGGCATGTATTGAGTCGATATTTATATTGATATTATATTGATTTATAATGATGTCTCTCGCATAACGATCATAATCCATTCCACTATAGCATTCGTTACACGATACAAAGCTTCCCGTAGTTTTTGATAGAAATCATTTTTACAAGAACTCTGTTCTGATCCAAAATCGCAAAACACCATAAAAATTTCAGAGAATATTCAAAACGCCACTAATACCGTAAATGCTAGGAATTAGCTAATTTATTAGTTCTAAACATTTTTTCATACATTGTGTAAGTATACTGTGTCACGGTTTCTTCTGCAAGTGGATGGTTTCGGCGTTTTTAGTAAGTACAGTTTTCAGGAAGTTACCTAACATGGTTTTGAAATGATTCAAAATGATCTTCCTTTCCGTAAGTTGATTTCGAAGTACTGCCTGGCACTCTCACTGAAGAGATAAAATATTCTAATCATCTTAGCTTACTAGGATGTAACTGCTCGGCTGTGATATGAACATATTCCCTTTTCCAGTTTAATGAATTTTTGCTTTCAAATTATAGAATCAGTTTAATCTTCACTTCTTCAGAAGGTCTTTAAGAGTTGCAATAGGATGGACGTTTTTGTTCTTCTTTTCATCACTAGAGGGGAAGAGAACTTATTTCTGGGCTCTTTTGTGCTGAAGAGTGCTTTAGTAGTAATATAACATTCAGAAATATGTTTATTTGCCTCTCCTTTGCCTATACTCATTATTTCTGATATTAATGCGCTATTGGAACAGAAATAAAACAAATTTAATTCTGCATTTACTGTGCAAGGAAATTCGCGGGTAGGTCGCAATATATGGTATTTTTGGGTCTGTGCACACATTTGCCGTGCGGGGCATTGGTTATGTGAGTCATTTACTATGTGAGGCACAGTGAAGACAGCTTGTTATGAAGACAGTCCAGTCGAAGCGGGTGAATAATTTTGCCTGGTAAGATAATAAACGTGGCATTGCATACGCTGCATAGAGCTTTAATATAAAGATTTTGGATCAAATGCAGTCTAATGACCGATTTCACAAAATTACACTTACATTATAAGTCAACTAAGCAAAGTAAATAAATTTAAAGCAAATTCCACGCGTTTCCATTACAAAATTCTCAAATTTTTAAGTTCCTGTTTCAGACGCATTGCTTTATATGATTAACAATATAAATGACTATATCATCCTAATAGAAATAACTGCATTAAATAAATAATAACTGCATTTGTCAGTGTCAAAACTAACGGAAAATCATATTTTTCAGGTATTAGAACAATTTTAAGACTTCTTCGAAAAGGAAACTGAGATTTAAACCGAGTTATACTTTCTAGTTAGACTGAGTGTCCATCATCCTTAGAAAGATGTCTAATGGGATAAGAAATGGACTGAAATTGTAAACTTACCGCATCCACTGAGTTTTAACCATTCCACAAGCGAGATACCCTTTTCACAGCATTGCTCAGCATACTGAAATTTGGATCTGCACATCGAGGCCTCCGGTTTTTGGCTGTAAGTTACATCGTTCTGACACGATGCCGAGTAAAGAGTTGGGTCCATGAGAATCTCACAAGGGCTGGCAGTGAAGTTGCAGATATCCGGTGGCGGTTCTGGCACAATTATGCGTTCCAGCTTACAACTATCCTTTGTCTTTTCTTGCAGCCAACTGTAACCGAAATCTTCGATATCTTCTGTCACATACCCATTTCGATGGTACAGGTCATCGGACTGAATGAAATTGCACACTCCTGAAGAATTGAGGAAAAAAGATGTGAAAAATAAGCATTTTAATTGAAAATAAATTAGAAGGCCTAGATTACATTTCACATCTACTTCTCAATAAGATAGACTCTTACTGTATAAAGCAGATCATTGTCTTAAAAAATAATTTCCTCAATAACTCGACAAAAAGTAAACACAAGAACTAGCTGGTACGCACAGCTTATGTTTACGCAAACGAAAGTGTTGGACTTACACGTAGGAAAAAAATAAGAAATAGTTATAGCACTAATGACTTCAAGTTCAAAGAAACTGTTCTAGAGGAAAGATTTATAACAAGTTCCTCAGTTGTAAATTTAGCCTTCAGAAGGTTATGCAGTCTTATTTATTGGTAACAGGGGATATTAAATTAGGCCAGCTCTCATAAATAGTAACCCAAAGAGAAGTGGCTGCATTATTAAAGGGTAACGCTAAAAATGTTGCCTCAAAGCAATAATTCTAATCCAAATGATGGCAAAATGAGCTCTCTACCTTATCCAGCCCTGCCCATCTATTTATATTACAGTTTGCAAATTACTCTAGTTTTATTTAATTTATCTTTCAGACATCTGGAGCAGTAATCTTCAATTGCTGATTTCGGCAGCGTTCAGTTCCACACTCATTAAGCAAACACCCAATTTTTCACGAGTCGTAGGTCTTTATCTACATTCCTAGTTGGCTTTCAACTGAGGAATGACGATCTGTGTACATGTGGTGCTTCCGGAAATATGGATCACTACATCTTTAACTGCGAACAAACTCAGAGTTGAAAACACACATCCACAATAATCTGAGAGCTTCGGAAGACAGTACCATTAAAAATCCAGAAGCTCAGATGAAAATCTCCGAGTTTTTTGGCATTACTTTCTTCCTTTATTAAGACGAGGCCTTGGGATGCCTACAATAGAATATAGTATATATTCAAAAGCATTACACATACAAATGCGACTCATATTTAAAAATTACAGCAAACTAACCAAATTTGTATAACAAGAGTGTGATTGGTGCGTTATTCGTAAAAAATTGCAATTGTGGTTGTTTCTGCAATTGGCTGCTGATTCCAAGGACTTTGTCATCCAAAGGACAGGGCACCTCTTCTAAGTTCGTCGATACCTGAACGATGAACTTACGCATCACTAATTTGGGCGTGTTGGTGAGGATCACTGTTCCATTCGTTAACAGGTCACTTGATTTAACGCCTTGCGCCTTCTTCCTTTGAGGGGCACATTAAGAACCTCGTTCATGTATCTCCACTATCAAAATCATTAGAAGAGCTCAGGGAATGGATCAATGTTGCAGTGATGACCAATTGACAGGATGATGCTAGAAAATGTGTGGAACAAGTTTAACTACCGCCTGGACGTGTGTTGTGTGACGCACGCAGAGGGTGCACCTAGAACTTTTCTAGAACGTATAGAAAACTTGGTGAGCTTGCGGTTGCATATCACTCATATTTGCATGTGTAATACTTTTGAATATATAGCGTGCCGCCCAACCAGGATAGTGGTGAGCGACACTGACTGCCGTAACAAAGGGCTCGGGTTCGAATACTGGAGAAGGCATGGATGTAATGTATAGTATATGTGCGGCATGGGGCGTGGCCTTCGAGATAACATGGCCTGGTTAGCTGCGAGTGACGTCACGAAAGGCGTCTGATCCTTCCGTGACTTTCTTTGCTTTAGATTTGAATGCGAGCGTTTCGTTCGATGTTTAGAGTGTTTTTTTTTAATAAGGCATAATGATTAAATTCCAGAGACTTGACGGGAAACGTATATAAAAGGTTCGTATATTCATTTGCAGTTAAGATTAATAACTTAATAAATATATTTTTAAGAATATTCACGAAATTTTCTATGCCATGTTTTAGGTTATCTTGTGCATTTTTTTTTACACTGTATTGTAATAATTCGTTATGGATACACTCAAAAAAGAAAGTTTTGAAATAAGGAAATAAAAAGGCTGTTATTATTAACATAAAAATGTCTTTACAGTTGGAGAAGGAGAGAAATGAAAAGATTTAGAAATATAAATAATTCACTAACAAAGTAAATATAATTTAGCAAATTAAAAGACATAAAATTTATTTTTTCCTTAAAACTATAAATATTTCAGGTCTTCCAAACATTATGAAAATACATTTTTAATTCATTTAAATACTATAGATAAATGAAAAGCAGTTCAAAAGCCACAGAAAAAATTTAAACCTCAAAACTTTGTAAATTAAATAATTACAATTTTGCTGCAACATTACAGAAAACGAATAATTTCCACATATTTATATGTTATCTATAGCAATAATTATAATAATATTTACATTATTACTTATATGTAGATGCATAATAAATAATATATTTACAAATAAAAGCCATCCATAAAATATTCCACAAAAGCGTAAAATTTAATAAATTGGCTAACGAAAACCTCAAAACAACTATACATAGAACAAACATCATTTCTGTCTAATTAGCAAATACGTGCAAGTTGTACTAGTATAATGAAGCAATAATTAATCGCAATTGATAATTTATTTGAAAATTAGAGAAGTATTATCAAATAATAAGGAACAGCAAAAGGATTATAAATTTAAATGTAAAAGATACATTATTGAAATATATTTGAACTGCATCATATTTAGTACACTATTTTAAAAAATAAAACAATGTCATTAACATACTCATATCTTTTCCACACGTTCTGATTTAAGCCCTTTCTTTTTTGTATGCATATTATTTGAAGACTTAGAAATGTTTAAAAAATTGGAAGGCTCATATTTTAACCTAGAAATGATCAACTTAACAATTTTGAACATAACATGTAATTTTTTCATAAAGGAATTGAAGAAATCCTCTTTCTGTAGGATTAAGTTTACTAACGTTTATTTTATTTTAAATCTTTACTATCACTTCTTATTTTCTACTTCCGGCCAGAATTATAAGCGTTGAAGGTTTTTATGCAAAGTTTGTCTGGCGAACGCCAAGTATTTAAGTTGTGGCTTTTTGCCAAGCGAGAGAGAGGAAGCAGTTAGTCGAAGCAGGCCGCTTACCTTAGAAGTTTTACGCAGTTGCTGGTTGCCTTCCAGGCCAGAGGTTTTTAATCCTCTTGATAATTTTTAAACGTATTGTAGTGTTCACAGTTCTCTGTACTACATACGGCTTCCTGTTAATATAAGGCCAATCTTCCACGTTTATTATTCTAAAGTTAAATTAGAGTTTAGTTTTATTTTTATATTTTTTACGTTAGACCCCAAGTGGAGGGTCTTTGTATTCCGAAGTACGGAAGTTATTGTAAAGAGAGAAAAATAAAGGGTTTTGTATACCCTTCGTGTGTATCCTGTCTACTTCCCACAATTAGTGAACATAGCTTTAGTAAGCTCTCTGTTCCGAGTCAGGTCCTTGCATGTTCCCGAAGAAGGTAAGAAGGAACATTGAACCTGATAGTGGCGCCCAACGAAGAAGAATAACCATGGCCGAGTTTCAAGAAGAACCTGTGCTGCCTGCAGAAACGGCTCAGAATCCAGAAATGCCAGCTGCCGCCCTGGAAGGATTTGGTTACATCGTCCAGACCATGCGCGCTTCGATGAAACCAGAAGCAACATTTAATGGAAACTCACCGGTAACCAGTTTTTTGGAAAAATTGGATGACCACTTCATGCTCTACCCCGTGCACGAGTTTCAAAAAGTTACCTTAGCTACCAGCGCTTTGAGGGGCCAAGCGCTTAACTGGTTCAAATGTATAGGCAGAAGTCTCTTGGGTCAAGCAGGAAGTCCCACCTATACTTACGAAAATTTCAAGACTGCCCTACTAAAAGCCTTCCCTGTTGTAAGGGATCGTGCGAAATTAGAAACGGAACTTTTCAGTATATATCAACAAAGAATCGAAAATCTCTCAAGCTTTATTTTAAGAAAAATTCACGTCTTCAAACTCTTGTATGGAAACCGTCCGGATCCTGAAATAATTCAAGTGATTTTGCCGAGGTTACTGCCCCAAGTGCAAGACTTTATTGAATTAAGAAATCCGACTACACTGGAAAAGTTATTTGAGCTAGCAATCCAGTTTGAAAGTAGAAGAACGGCGGACATTCGAAAGAAGACGCCAATATCAACAGCGAAACCAATTTGGTACGCCAAGACTACAGCAAACTCAAGCACACGGCTACGGAAGCAAAGCGAATCAGTGGGCAAGGAAACCCGAGCATTCAAAAACAGCCGGCGAACGTCGACAGTTCAATAGCAACCCAGGAAAAAAGTCTCAAGGCCAGTGGAAAAAGAAGGAAAGCACGGAAATGAAAAAATAATTTAAACTAAAACGGATTTCTGCTGACGGAGAGGGTGCGGAAATCCGAAGGCCACGAAAACCCCTCTTCCTTCAAGTTAAATACAGTAATGGTGAAAAATTTGACTCTTCCGAAGATTGAAGTGTTGGTGAATAATATCCCAGCCACCGCACTCCTGGATACAGGCGCGCAGTGTTCCTGTGTGGCAGAAGTTTTTTTAGGAAGTATTTTCGTAAATACCGCATATATAATTCGGATAATACGACAGTGTTAGCGGCGCAAGGAGAAAATGTAAGTGCGTAGGTAAAGTACCTTTGTATGTCCGTATCAAGGACGAACAAGTAAAGGTTGATGTTTTTTATAGTAAAGAATCTGCAAGCACATATTAATCTTAGGAATAGATTTTCTTTCAGAGGCACAAGCAACGCTGGATTTTAATGAAGCGTCCCTTAAGCTGACAATGAAACCAGTTCGTGAAGAAAAGGCTGAACCGCCGATGTTAAATCTTGACCACCTGCCTAATGAACGAGCAAGAAGAATCCGACAAGTGGTAAGTGAATTTGCTTCGTTATTTAGTGATATTCCAGGATTTACTCAGGTTACTAACCATAGTATTGACACCGGAGATTCAATGCCAGTTCGCCACAAAGCATACCGGTATGATAAGAATAAGGAAAAAATTATAGAATGGCATATTACCGATATGCTACGTAAAAAGATCATAACGCCCATCTCAAGTAGTTATGCTAGCCCGGTGGTTTTATGTAAGAAAAATAATGACTATCCTTTGG